GGGGATTGCTTAGAATTCCTTACACAACCTAACAGTCAAAGAGGTGTAAAAGTGGAGTAAAGACATGTTCAGCTATACAAGGTCTCACGAAACTCACCTTCTCTAATCTAAACCCTTCCCTAGGAAGCTACTGTAGAATGTGTTGTAATGACATGAGAGGGTAAACCAAGAAACAGGAAGACAGATGAGACAAGAAACACAAGATCCAACACAAGAGTGCAGGAAAGCAGGGCAAGAGGACAACTGTGAAGGCGGAGCCATTCAGAAGACCTCAGGAGAGACTTCTTCAGGGGCTGCCAAATACAGGGCACCCAAGGCAACTAAAGATGGAGAGACCTAGGTGATGATGAGTTTGGAGCTGAATTAACAAAAAGTATTCAGAAAATAAACAAGTGATAACACATGACAATTTTTACACATAAAAATAATTATAGTGCACTACATGGCTTAGCTGCAAATAGCACTTCATTGTTAGTCATAATAATGTAAACACTGATTACTGATTTAACCAAATTACAATATTATAATATATTGGGAGGTAATGGGCAACAGAAGAGTGTCTGTGTGGTGGGGCTGGAGATTTGAAATAAAAGACATAGTCGAAAGCCAATATAAAATGTCTGAAACTAAAATAATCACAAAATAGCAAAATACCACAGAAGGAAATATTAAAATACTGAAAGGGATGCCCAGGTTACTTCGGAGGAAGTGTAAACGGAAGAGAGGGCTGCTGTTCTACAAAATAAAGGTTGTAGAAATATACGTCTCTTTACTATGTGCATGTATAACTTTAATTTTTTTTTAAATGAATCTTAGGGATTTTTTTTGTTTTTTTAAAGTAGGGAAGAAAAGAACAGCCTTACTAATTGTATTAGGGTTCTCCAGAGAGATAGAACCAATAGGCCATGTATATAGATACATGAGAGGAGATTTATTAGGGGAATTGGCTCACGTGATTATGAAGGCTTGTTTTTTTAAAGTAGGGAAGAAAAGAACAGCCTTACTAATTGTATTAGGGTTCTCCAGAGAGATAGAACCAATAGGCTATGTATATAGATACATGAGAGGAGATTTATTAGGGGAATTGGCTCACGTGATTATGAAGGCTGAGAAGTCCCATGACAGGCCATCTGCAAACTGGAGACCCTGAGATGCTGGTAGTGTGGCTCAGTCCAAGCCTGGAAGCCTCAGAACAAGGAAAGCTAATGGTGTGATTCTCAGTCCAAGGCCAAAGGCCTGAGAGCCTGGAGGTGCCACTGGTGTAAGCCCTGGAACCCAAAGGCTGAAAAGCCTGGACTTGCTGATATCTGCAGACAGGAAAGAAGAGTGTATCCCAGCTCCAGCAGAACAGTGCTTGAGATTCCCTTTTTCCTCCATTTTTGTTCTCTCTGGGCCTCCCGTGGATTGAATGATGCCCCCATATTGAGGGCAGATCTTTCCTACCCAGTCCACTCAGGCTCACATGCTAATCTCCTCTGGAAACACCCTCACAGACACACCCCAAAATAATGCTTTACCAGGTTACTAACTATTCCTTAATCTGGTCAAGTTGACACCATCACACTAATTACTCATCCCCTCCATCTCTGAGCGGTAGATAATGCAGTTTCCTTTTAGAATCTTACGTCATCTGATATTTAATATTCTCTGTAGTGGGGATATTACTACCAATTTCTGCATGATAGGTTCATGAGAAAGTGAAAAAGATGCAAAAATCAGGATCCAAAAAGGGGAGCTGGGTGAAGGCTGGAATTATTTCATTACCCTGTGCATTTGCCAATCTGAGGTTCAGTTGAGTTAACAAATATCCTCATTCTACCTGTTCTTCTCTCACTGGATGGGGGTTTCAGTTCTCAGCTGAGAAGAAAGGGCACAAAGGGTAGGAGAGAGGCTCAGGGAAGGAAGCAGCATGGTACCAATGGTAAACTACTCCTATCTGGAAACTTCCTGCCTTTTCCAGTAGTGTGGTAGAGAAAGCATCTTCCTCCCCATCTTGGTCTCTGCTCTTGGAATCTCTCAAGTGTCTCTTACAATTCTCACTAGCATTCCTGTATGTGGTTAATTAGGTGAATTTTTGTGGACTAGCAGGGAATCCAAACTGTAACTTGGCATTCTTGTGGCAAAATATGTTCCAAAAACCAAATTTGCTAATCATCTTTGGAATGTGGGCCCCGCCTAAGATATGGTTCAACAAGGAATCAGGAGGACCTGTCATAGCTGAGTGCAAGCACTCTGAGCATCATGCCTCATGAGGTCCTCTATTTCCCCAGGCTATCAGTGTACCTGTCTCTCACAGTTCACGGGGAGAAACTGTGAATCCGAGATCACAGCCTGCTTCCCAAACCCCTGCCGGAATGGAGGATCCTGCGACCCCATAGGAAACACTTTCATCTGCAATTGTAAAGCTGGGCTCACTGGAGTCACGTAAGTGAGATTGTGCAATAGTCTTTCTCTGTGCTGCTTCTTGTTGCTAAGAAAACAAACCGGTAAGCAAGTCACTGGGATAAAATATTTACCACTAATAGGACAGGCAAAAGGTTGATATCTTTGCTATATAAAGAGTGTTTACAAGTGAATAAATTATTAATAGGGATTATCTCTGGGTAATAGGGTTATGGGTAATTTTTGTTTTTATTTTATGCTTCTCTATATTTTCAAAAGTTTATATAATTACTGTGTATTCTGTAATTAGGAAAATAGTTCTTTTAAAGAAAGTCATCTATGCCACCTAATATTTCCACTATAATTCTGAGGCAGACATACTGCCCGTTTCCCACAAATCCATTAACTGGATTCTACTGCCTAGTTTTATGATCATTCTGAGAAAGTAAAACTTACCTTTCCTTTTCAAACCCCCTTTTCCCCCAAGAAATGAGGAAAATTGAAGTGTTAGCCAAATGGAAAGGGAAGGTTTTAAGTTCTTAGTAAAATGCCACTTTCAGCCATCCTTGATAGTTTTAGAAGCATATATATGTAATTTCAAGCAAGTGATATTCTAATTACAGATCAGTCTTAGGTATTCATTAGAGCAAATCTCCCGAGGACTTTACCAGGAAATACTTAGCCGACTTTGGAT